AATCTTTTTCAAGCAGCTGGTCTGCATACATATGGAGATGCTGAGTGGATGCAGACTATACACTCTTTCATATTAGTCACGTTTACATGGACAATAATTCTTCATTATGATTCAAATCGTTGTGAATGAAAATACAAGTTTGAGCTTGTACATGGTATGCAATTTAATCTGGTCTGGAATTTATGTGCACTTACGAATCCAATCTGACAAGGTCGATAACATGCCGAATACAGATCTTTTTCTGACTGATAAACTTTTATGTTTGACCCTTCCTGAAGATAGGAATTTATGTCTTCTGTCTACTCAGTGGAAAAGTTGCCATCATTTTGCTGCTCATATTTAAGCAATAGTTTGATATCAACAAAACTCTACTCCTGAATGCCTGAGAAGAGAAGTGTCTGTGAAGATTCCTGGACTCGAGTACTTACAACACTGTTCCCATGTATAGTTATCAGTGTTAATGCGTTATTAGTAATGATGTTAGTTTATTAAGTAACTAATAATGTAACTGTAAGTTTTTTTTAAATTCAGTAACCCTGTTTCCGTTACCAAACACTGCGTTACTTCGTCCCTTTTGGTGAGGTTTTACAACTGCACACAGTTCCCATAACATTTTAACGATCAATAAAGTTTAATTGAATTGAAAAAACAAAGCACTTGTCACCCTCTAGAGTCAGACACGTAATCAAACATGAAGAGGACTGGACAGGTCAGGGAACTGCATGATGGCGAGCAAAAAGGGGAAGATACGTTTCTCCTCATGGAGATACTCATTATTTTCAACTCCAGAGCAAAGGGAAAAACAACATTTTAGTAACATGTAAACTGCGTCCTGGGTCAAAAATCCTTTCTAGAGCAAACAGCAATCTACTGAAGCACCTAGAGGAGCAGCATGCCTTGACAAAGTTGGCAGCTCAGGGAGCTAACGCAGCATCGGCGACCAAGAGTCACAGCAGAGAACACACACCCACTCCACCCAAGCAACAATGGTTGGAGTTTGAAAGACGGGCCCATAACCAGGCACAACTTGATAAAATAATAACATGGTATGTTGAATTGTTTATCTGGATCTCTTTCAGCACAATCAGGCTATTATTCCAAGAGTCTAATGGTAAAATTTTGGCGTTAGTGTCAAGGTTTGTGTTGGTGCACAACAGATCGTATTGCTTGGATGATTAGATTCAGTGATGTGGATGTAAATGAATTGAAACGGTTGTTTTAATCAACAGTTTGTTTTATTCAGCATCAGTACAGAACTGAAATGACGGCTAGAGGGAAACTCAATCAATCCACCTTTATAATTTGTAATGGGAGCATTGGAAGAACGTTTTACAGTAACTAAATAGTTACTTTCTCAATAACCAATTACCTGTTGGTTTAAGTAACTGAGTAACTTTTTTTTACAAAGTAACACGTAACTGTGACTAGTTACTATATTTCAGTAACTAGCAAAACACTGATAGTTATGGGTAATTATCAGAGGTTTGTGGGTGGATTTACTTCGCTGTACTGTCAGTTTCCCCCCACAGGTGGGTGTGGTAGGTGTGATGATTTTCAACAGTTTTAATGAATTCAAAATCGGTGATAAAACAATCAACCTTGCAGGTTTGTGTGTGAAAATCAAGCACCAGACCACCTGGATTCAGACAAAAGCTTTGGCTCCAGTTCAGCTCTATGAGCAATTTTGAAAAACTCTGAAGCTGATGAGAGGACAGGTTTATGCTCCAGCACCTCAGTCAGAGTGTGAGTGTCACCGAGCTGAAAAGTGTCCCATTTCCTCCTACGTGGAGAATGCAGTGTGCACTCACAGAGTGAGAAAGCTGACAGTATGACTTTCTGCAGAGGTCTCTCCTGCCCGGGGGCAAAAAGCAGAGTAAATGTCACCGTTTTCATCTTCCCCTGGATTGATCTCACACTCGGGTGTTCAAACGGCCGCTGGACCCCTTCATGCCCTTTATGAAATCAATGCATTCCACTGCCCACCTCATAAAAGTCCTACAAATGGAAATAAGGCCGGGGTCAGACACACACTCACACACACAGGTGTCGCCACTGACTTTGCCAGACTTTTTCTATGGATCATTATCTTAATTAATTTGTCAGGCTATTTGCTGACCCACGAGCTAGAAGCTGAAAATGGACTTCACTGCCTCCTCTTCCAACCTGACCTTTCTCTCTACCTCCTCCCTTCCTCTCTCCTCTGTCTCGGCTGACTGTCTATTCTTTCTCTTAATGACTCCGCACATTTTCCTCTTGTCCTTCATTTAACGCTTGTAGTCGTTTGTCCCACCACCTTTTGTTTTTTCCTCCCTCTCCCTACCTCTCAGTCCTTTTCAGTAAAGGATAATTCCTCTCGGACTATTTAAGGTCTTTTATAGACACCTGGAAGTATATTTAAGACCTGTTTAAATGCTGGTGTAAAGACACATAAAGCTGGCAAACGCAGCCTCTTTGCAATTAAACAGTGCTAGTGAAAGCTGTGAAATTATTTATGAGCAGCACTAGAAAAAGGACACTTGTTTTGGGGCTCTAAGTGCAATTACAGCGTGCTAGGAAAAGCAGACAAACGCGTTTTATACAAATAGACCTGCAGTGTATTAATCAGCAGCTCAAACACATTCGTCATGACGTAGCGGAAGAGAAAAATCCAGCTTTTAAGTTTGCATTTTATTCACCAAAAGACTGTGTTTATTTATGGTAGACCTGTCAGCGCTAAAGCGATACAGCTCCCTCACCTTAACCTTCACCTCCTCCTAAATCTCCTCCCCTCCAAACTTCTCTCTTTTAACCTTTCCAAATAACCTCTCCTCCTTCCAACTTCTCCTCTGCTCACCTTTCTACAGTAACAAGGTCCCTGAGGTTTGTCTCATGTTTCACCAGCTTCCTGTCCACTCTAACACGTAAACAAACCCACAAAAAGAGACTTACAGACCTACATCCTTTAGACCTCCGTACATCCACAAACAATGCTGCACTGAAGGTAGAGCTCACCTTATTTGTTACCTTATTCTCAAATTTGAAACCATGAAAGTCGCCATCATTGGTTTTGGTTTAACCTTGAACAAAGAGTTGAATAAATTATTCTTTTTCTAATTTCTTCATCTATCATTTCTTAGGATATACGCATTAAGTCGACGAAACCATTAAACATTGTCACCCTTGCTGTTCAGCACCAGGATTACAGACAGGTTAAAACGGTTATTGATATTTTTTATCATTATAGGCTGTAGTGCGTATGTTGGTTGAGCACTAGCACAGCTACCCGTCACAATCCAGGGCTGCGTTAGTCAAATATTTCTGCTGAATACGATATATTTATATGCTCTACTACCCAAATATAAACAAGCCCAGAAGTCAGATGGCACCTTGAAGTCGTCTGTGATTTACTTGTATTGTGGGTGAGACAATAAAGGTCAAGTTTAATGTCTTGTTAAGCTGGTATGTGACCTTGAGTGTCAGTAGCACCAACCTTCGGCCAGTGGTGCTAGCTTTGCAAATGTCTCTCTTAGGGTGACCATACTCTGAATCCCCCAAAACGGGAGACGATGATGCAGGGGCGGAGTCACAGAGTTGTGGGTAATTAATTATGAGAGTTTTTCAAGTTGGGTCAAGTTGGGTCAAGTGTTTTTTATGGGCTTTTAACTCAGTCCATGCGACACAAAGTTAAAACTTCCTAAAGACCTACCTTTTTAGTCTGGCTTTTAGTTGAATTTTGTTGTAATCTTTTGATCTGTATTATGTGATTTTACGCTATCCTAGTCCTTGAGTAACTACTTTTCTGTTTTATAACCTCTTTTTTAATTTACTCTCTTTTATTGTTAGATTTTAAGACGGTTTTATTTAATTAGCTTTTAATGCTTTATCACTTTTATTATATTTTATCATGGTGTTATTGTTTTTGAGTTTCCTCATCTTTTTTAACTCATGACTGCGTTTCCTCAGTCATCTGTGGCAAGTTGAAGAGTCCTCACCCGGTCTTTTGTGTGTGCATCTGAGCGTGTGAGTGCTGTATGTGTTGAATGGAGGTTGGGAGGTGGGTGGGGTTTGGTATTTTCATTTTTAGTTATTTTACTTCATTATTTTTTTAATTATCCTGCGCAAATGGACAGCACTTTGTGCTACATTCCATGTGTAAAAAGTGCTTTAAAAATTAAGTTTGATTGATTGATTGATTGACTGATTGTTTGATTGATACAGGATTTCACCCCCCCCCCAAAAAAAAAAAAAAAAAAAAGTCCGGACAAGGCCAAAAAAGAGGACATGTCCGGGTAAAATAATAAGTATGGTCACACTATTTCTCTTCTTCAGAAAGATGATTAACAAAAAATAAATGACTTGATCAAAAACTAAAATCAAACTGTCAGCTGAAATCATAACAGTTTGTGCACCTGCTGGGTCAGCCACATCTAACAGATACAGCTGATCTGAGGTCAGGTTCACCAGGATGTTTTCCATGACCAGAAAGCTGCAATAAGGAATCCAGCTCAAGGGACAGTGAAGGAAACACACCCCTCGTCTTCATCACATTATACTGAGGTGAAACACAGAGGTGCATTTATGTGTAAATGGCACATGAGTTAATGCGTGCCTGGGAACTTCTGTGTGCATGAGTGTGTACGTGTGTGTGTTAGTACTGCTGCTGCTGTGTGGTTGATGCTTTGGAAGTGACACCTATGCTCCCACACAGCCTCCCCTGTTGTGTGTGTGTGTGTGTTTCTGCCTGAAATGTGCTTCAGTGTATGTGTGTTTGTGTGAACGCAGTGTTTGAAAATGTGTGCGACTCCGGGGTCACTTCTAGGTCAGGGCGAAGAGGAGGAGTGCTCTTGTGGTGATTTATGGCTCTCGCAGCACTGTCAGGCAGGCTCTGTTTTCCCAGAGGTCTTTGCAACAGTAGCCAAAATAACACTCCTTTTACTCTACACCTCTGCCTTTTTCACCCTCTCCAGCTCACACCCTCATCGGCCCCTCCAGCTGCTTATTATTTCTTCTTTCACTCACTTCTTCATGCCTTTACATCCTGGTTTGGGCTGTAGCAGGAGATAACCCTGCCTAAACTCAGATCAGTTGCTTTTCTCTCTTTCTGGAAATATTGTCTAGTATTCTCAACTCTTAGACAACTGAATATATCACAGTTTCACGATTTCTGGTGGTGCTGCTGCTCCTTCAGAGAGTGTATTCTCTGATTTAAAACCGCCTGTTTGTCTGGTGTCATATGATCTATCTTTCTATGGGACATTTTCAACCCACTAAAGATAAGGTTAGGAGGAAGCACTGTCCGTCAGTCATATGTCAGTCAGTCTGTTCCCCTCGTATTTTGTTATAACTGAGAGATACCATGAGTTGAACCTAAAATAACACTGCAAATGTCCTATTTCAAGATGTCTTCACCATATAACAGTCATCAGGATCACTTTTTGTTCTGTTCATTCTTTATATTTGTCTGTTATGTGTGTGTGTGTGTGTGTGTGCCCAGCTTGCCTTTTCCTGTTTTGTTTCTTTCTATTGACAGTTTTTATCTTTTATGGTTTTGTTCGGTTTGGAAATTAGCATCCTTTATAAACACTACAATACTTGCATATGGATAAACAAACGGACCATAAATGGATGAGATTATAATTTGAAAACCAATGCACAGAGTTCCCTAGGAGTCAAAGTTTCGAGGGCCAGCCCAGACAGTCTGGTATAAAGGTTCGAGCTGGAACGGACTGGTGGTCATCTCATCAACATTCACCAGTGTGAAACCCATCAGCACTGTTTCTGTGGATATTGGCACACTAAAAAGTTGCTCGGTCAGTTTTTTGGCTTTCAATAATTGCTGATGCAACTTTTCCATCAGCCCAAAGCCAAGCCAGTTGTAACCCATCCAAATTATATACCTAATGATAGATACCTTTAACCGCAGCGTGGGAGGAATTGTCAAAGCTTGTCATGTATCTGCTCAGTCTTTTTCTGCTTCTTTTTCCGTGTCCTGCTGTCACTTCATTCCTCACCCTCTCGTTTCTGGGAGCATGTCACTCCCCAGGTTGCTAACTCTCTTCAAGGACCCTTCATATTAAGGGACTATTAAAAAGTCCTTGACTCTGCAGCCCGCCATTACCTGTTGCAATCTTCCCATTTAGTTTCAACAGCAGATTCCTCTCTCAGAAATCAATATGGAGGGAGAACGGCGGGCAGCATGAAGGAAATGACTGGCAGGGATAGTAATCCTCATCTATCATGTGGAGATGGATGTTGAAAATATAATGAAAACCGTGTAAGAAAGATGATCTGAGAAAACCATTTCACAGACCCCTTAAACAATAACCCCCAAAAAACAAACAGAATCATTATTTCCCATTTTGGCTGATGACTGATGTGTTGCACTGACCTCAGCTACCGTGGCCCCATTCGGTACTGCGCGGCTTGCTCCAGCCTTATTAATTACCTCATTAGCAAATAAGAGGAAGGATAATGGAGGGCTGTGTTTACGGTCCACGGTGACCAAGCGAGGCGGATGGAAAGCATGACGGTCAGCTTCTGAAGGCAAAGGCAGCATTAACCTCCGCGTTTGTTCAGAGGATGGAGAATTTAGACGTTGATGTACGCCTACAGATCAGTGAGTATCTGCGGTCACGCTTAATGAAATGACATCAGGAAACGCTTTCCCTCCAGATATGTAGCACTTGATGAAACTTCATTAATTTACTTGTCTTTTCCTCAACTAATTAAGAGCATAATTAACCGCTGGATGGAAGCTATTTGCCCTATTCAGATGCCGAGGACTGAGTGAATAATTTATAAATGTTACAATTGTAGACCTCATAAATATTCAATCAGTTTTCATAGCTGCTTTAGATTCTTGATTGCTGCATGAATGGATACAGTCAATAGGAATCAAAAGGAAATAACCTCAACTGCATTAAACTGGATGTGTGGCATGATTCCCGTCACTTACACAGGAGCCTGCCCCACCACTTCAACCGTGTCTGCTGTTGTTATGAAAAAAGACTCTGAGCCACAGTCTACTCTAAATATCAGCGGGAGATTCTGGCTAAAACATCATATTGTCCTTCACTTTATTCTCGCCCCCAACGGCCTTAAATGTCCTGGTAAAATAAGAGACTTCGAGCCAGGCTTCACACACAGTATCTCTATGTTTAAGTTTTAGCTTTCGCACAAAAACAGTGTTAAGAGGACTCACTAAGCAATCACCAGCCCCCTAAGTAAAGCTTACAGTAATGAAGAAATGGGCAATCAGCATAGATTAGCAAGCGCTAGTTAGAGTAATGGGTAGTTAACTCACATAAAGAAGCACTTAGCCTTTCACCATACCACTCTCTTTAAAGGCACTTTTTTTTGCCTGCATGAATTGTGTCGATGCATCTCAGAGTCTGTTTACAGACCAGTGTTGAAGGTCAAAAATGTAATGTTCACAATTTTGCGGGGTTGTATCGCCATCTTTCGACATTACCATAAAGTTTGGACAATAAATATCCTTTATCAGATAATCATAAATTTTACTCATGAGCTATTGTATTTTTAATGAATTTGATTGAGTTTTAAATTGGTTATGGAGGTGATTTAATTTGATGTTTTAAATTATTTTGTAGATAGCTTTGTAATTTGTTCCAGGTATTTTTGTGTAAGTGTCAGATAGTTTAAAGCTAAACTTCTGGTCTGGCTGTTTGAATCCATGGCTGGAGACCCATACATAAAGATCCAGACTGTGTTACTTATTTTTAAAAGTTGTTTGTTTTTTTTTTTTCTTTTTTTCTTTCTTTGTCAGTCATACCAAAAAAAAAAAAAAATGGAATCAGTGAAAATCCAAACCACTAAAGATAAGTTGATACTCATCCCCCCCAGAGGTTTAAAGGACTGCAAAAAAAAAAAAAAAAAAAAAAAAGAAATTATAATTGTTTGGTAAATTACTCACGTCATCTCCCAAACAAAAGCCAAAAAACACTTGAGAAATGTTTCATGAAAGATTCTTATATTTTTTCTCCTTGTTTTAGGTGAAACATCTCAGCTCAACGGTCTTAAATCACACCAGAGTTGCAGCTACAAAACGGCCAATTAAATTATTTAAGCTTAAAATTTCAACATCCTGTCACAAATTACTGAGATGGCACTGTGGAGGCTTATTAAATGACCAGAGGACTTCACGCCGCTCTGGAGCCCATTAGGTAATTGGTGCTGGAGGGTGGGGAATTCCAGTGACATTGCTGTTCCGGATGGGATAAAATTCATGGAGGTGCTCAGGTAATAATTACGATCATTCAACCTCCCCGGGTGATTGTAAAGTCACCCAGCAATGGCGCATTGTACGAAAGCCAACTGAGTGTTACTGCAGAATTAAATGATTCCATCCACTGCTGCGATCAGCCTTGAGGGTAAGTACCTTAAGGGCTGGAGGACGCACCTCTTGAAAGCCCTTGTGGATAGTCTTTCTAAAAAAAAACGGCTTTCTATCTTCAAATGACATATTCATACATACATCACTTTCATGGGGAGTAATCGATAACACATGGGAAGCTATTGGTTATGCATGCGTTAATTGAAAGAGTGTGATAATATCTTGACAAACGGACTCAAAGGTTACTTTCCCAAGTGGTAATTAAGATTTCTTGACTCTAACCTTAGCTCTGGTGCCACCTCGGATCAAAAGTGAAGAAAAGATCAAGTGTTGGCAAAAATTTGATTAAACATGGACTGTAATGGGATTATGAAGGGTCACCTGTCTCCACTTAATAACCATCTTGGGGGGACTTTAATCTTCCGTACCAGTGGAAGTCAACGAGGAAAGCACCAACCCCAGAACAACGTGGGGCTAATTTCACTGCCAGAAGAAGTGATGAGTTCCCTCAATGGACAGTCAGGGGCCTTATTACCTAACGCCCCTCAGTAATGAAGCATGAAACTCATTCAGCACACACACACACGTCCACACTCCTACCTGATACAGAGCAGTAATTACTGTCCCCTGCCCTGGCTGTCCCCTGCTATTTGAATGTGTTAGCACTCACCGCAAATATCCAGTATTCATGCAGATGAGACACACGGCTTAACTCTGAGGCCAGGGCCCAGGCATTCTGCTTAATGGACACACTTAAGACAACAAGGCCATCTTTTCATTCCCTTTCCCCTTCCTGCGTCATATTTTTTCGGCTTTCTTCCTCCCCATCTGTCTTTGCCTTCCCTTTCTTCCTGCAGACATGAATCTGCTGAGCCCAGACAGCCAAGGTGATCTTGACTGAGGCCAATTAGCCCCCCCTCTGCTCAGACGGAGCTTCACAATGGAAATGCTTGGGGAGAAAAGCAATAGGTTTACTCTCTAAACATGCCTGGCATAAAGACAGGAATCAATAGGCACTCGTGTAATTCACTTTGAGGCAGATAACTTGGAGGTGGGAGGGGGGATTAATGAGGCTCTGACCAATGAGACGAAGAGAATAGATAGTTACGGGCCAAGCCTCATCAGGGTTTTGCCAGGACTCCAAGGCAAGCAGATAGAGGACTATGGTCAGGGCATGCCGGAGTGAGCAGAGCTAATGCTCCTGGACTGGCATTCGTCTTAATTCAGTTACGTCTGTATTTAACTGCAAAGACACATTCTTTAACTATCACTGAGTAAGGATCCTCCCTGCTAATTAGCTTGGCAGAATCTGCAGGATTGCCAACTGTGATGTACCAAAGGTCGGTAAATGGTTGGATTTTAGAAACCTTATCTTAACTGATCTGCCTTATACTGAGATTGTATTTAAACGTCTTATAAAAGTGCCCATTTCAATCAAGAAATGTCAAAAGGAAGAGTATTTACTCCTGTTCTCCTCATTATAAAGTCGGCTGAGATAGCTGAGGGTTTGATGTTGTTAAATGTTAAAACGTTGTCCAACCACAACAAGGTGGTGAGTTTTTTTTCTTTCTTTCTTCAAAGCATTGAGAAATGGAGGATGAATATGTTTTAATCTTAGGCTGGCATGAAAAGAAATAACTGATTTAAATGGTTTGGTGGTTTGGACAGCAAAGAGAATTCTTTGTATGATTGCCTGTCAAATAGTTTGTCAGGATATTGAATTAGAACTGGGGTTTCTGGATTGTGGCAAAAATCTTGATTGTGGTGTGGTCTGAGTGTGTGTCTGTTCAACAGGGACTTTTTTCTAACATTTGAATTGTCTCCAAAGTAATGTGACACAGGTGACAAAATAAACAGAAGTGTCTCTGGTTGTAGTTTGTTGATGACAGACAATAATTGTGGATGGGTTCTGATATTGGTGTATGGATATTGGCAGACAGGATCAAGACTAGAGTGTAATTTTTCAATTTTAAATATATGCCTCAATTGATGTCAGAAAGCTTATCCTTTCATGGTGTTCACTGTGGAACACACCAGATGTGCCATCTATTTAACACTCGAACTACCAAGGCAGTCATCTTAACTGCTTTCAAAATTTACAATGTCAACTTTTTTGAAATACAACCTTCACTATTTGCTATATTTTCCCGCTCTTTCTCCTGCTCTTTTGTTTGTTTTGTACTTTAAGCTCTACGAAGCTAAAATCTTGCCATAACTTTACTCAAAACTCAAGACTCAAAAATGACAACTAGAAGAAACATGAGAAGTATGGAGGCATTAGCCTTGCTTCAGAGCCTTGATAAAGAAGAATCCAATGGATGAGCAGGTTCAGGGAATAATGTGTTCTGGTATTTTAATGAAGGTTCTTGAAAATCTCATTCATTATAATTTTTACATGTGTATTGGTGTGGTATTTATCTATTCCACAAATTTATCAATCAATTTATCAATTTATTATCACTTTTTATTGTTCATTTTCCAAATTGTGTGCCAAAAAATACTGAGCAGTCAAAATGACGGCTTATGGTCATTCTATTAGTTGCAGAATTTGGGTAGACTGAGGTGAAGATGCAGGGATATAAATTATATCCACAGTCACATGACGTCCAAAAAAGCTGTTTTCGATACACGTTAACGTTTTACAGAAAACAAAGCACTTTTCACCATTCACTTAGACCTCAGATGCTGTGACAGTACATGCACACATTATCTTGATACATAATAAGTACCAAAATAACTGTGAAAAAGAGTTTGGTATTGGAACTGGCACCAGAAGCCATGGCTTGGCACTTAGTTTTACAAAACCATGAGCCCAGATCTGCTCCACGTTGGAGGTAAAAATACAGTTTAGACGTTTATACTCTCCTTTGGCTCCTTCTACTCGCCCACTACCAGATCATGTTGCTGTTAGTTTTGAAGTGAACACCTGCTCAGCTTTGGGTTGCGTAAGAGCTCAGATCTAACCTTTCCTCCTGTATTTCAAAGGCAGAAGATGCCCTTCCACTTAGAGCCAAGCTGAGGAGCAAAAATGGAATCAATTGCCTTATATTCTCTGTAATTCTGTTGGATCTTCAGAGGAAGCCGCTCAACACGGATGTACTGAGAGCAAAAAAGAGAGATTGTATCTTTTTCTTATTCTTTCTTCTTCCATTTCTCTCCACTCTGTTGAGCTGTTCTGGCACAATCAATGCTTCTCGCCTGCCTGGACCCATCATTTTTACCTGCATGCTGATCAATTGCCTCAGTATTTCACTGACCAATAAGCTGATTATAAACCAAGAAGCTCACCAGCCCTTACTTATACAGCCCCCATTTTCAATTACACACAGCTAAACACGTGCTGCAGCAAAAGGAGCTCCGAGCAGCAGCATCAATCACAGGCCAGCGTGGTGATGAGGCTGATAACACAGCTGCAGCTGATAGCCCACCAGCTGACACACACACACACACACACACACACACACACACACACACACACACACACACACACACACACACACACACACACACACACACACACACACACAGATAAATAGTGTAGATATCCAGACATGTATGTGCGTTATCTCTCTCTCACACAAACATGGATACATAGACCAGCTTATTCACCCTCTTTTTTCCAGTCTTTCTGTCTGTCTGTCTGTCTGTGTCTCTCACCAGGCCCTCCTCCTTCCTAATCAATCCATCTGAGAAAAATCTGCACAGCAAGAAAACTTCCAAGTTACATCATTTCGTTGGTTAATGAGTCCTAAAAATATTTCCTTAAATAGGAAGTTACGAAATCCGACAGTGGATCTTATCCTGCAAAAAAAAAAAAAAAAAAAAAACCCTCCAGCTTATCAAGTTCTTTCTGTCTGTGTTTGACTTGCAAAAAGTGTTTCATCATGAGATGAAATAAAAGTCTGACAGTGCAGTACAGATATTATGGACAGTTTCCAATTCACCCTGTTTTGAGGGTATTTGATCAAGTCAAATTCAATTTGTCTGCACTTGTGTGCAGGTACATCACTTTCTCTTTGTGGTTTCGAGATACTGACTCAATCTACAAAATATGAAACTGGATGGTTTTTAGCAGGAAGAGGTTTTTTAAAAAATAAAAGATAAATGCAATGCTACACAGTTTTTCCAGCCTGTCTCCATTTTTCCTGTAACTTTAAATGACTAATGTTTGTGTTTACTTCCAGCCTGCCTCTGATCACTGTCTCCTAAAGGGTATATATGCTGTGAAAATCCCCCTTTCTTAGCACACAAACAGGGGTATACTGAATACTCACTAGCCTCAAAATGTGACTGAAATGAACCCAGGTCTTTGCTCATGGTTTACCTATGTCTGACAACACACAATCTGACGGCCCATTCAAAGTCTGCCCACCTTGTAATAACGTGAGAAGAGGAGATAATACACGCCCCCTCACCTTCTGGGCTACAGCTTCAGAGCTAAACTTATGGGATAACTGCCATTGTTTTTCTTAGAGAGAGAAGAGAGCGGGGGGTGAGACGGAGCTCATTTACATTTTAATATACACACCAAAACCCACTGTTCTTAGAGAGGCTGTTCACAGCTGTCTCATAAAGGGTCCAAAACCTCCTCCGATACTTGAGCTGTTTTATACTTTGACCAAAACACAGCTCAAATGTTTCATTTAGCCCACAGGAGACCATGGTAAATGGTTGAAAAGGGGTATAACATGCCCATCTTAAAGAGACCCGCATAAGACACTTTCTCCAGAAAACTACGGAAGAGGATTAAGGCTGATATATAAAAATTATATTCACCCTTTATTTATTTATTCATTCATTCATTCATTTATTTTTGGTGGCCCTAATCCTCTTCTGTAAGAAACTACTCCACCCTTAAGAGAAACCAGTTGACTGTAATCACCGGCATATGAACTCTATGACTGTCAAAAGACAAAGTCCAAGGTGAGGCTCCGGAGGCGGATCAAGTTAAGTTTAATTCGGTTTGCAACAGCAATTTCTCCCCTTCATAATCACAAATTTGCTGGATAAAAATCACAAACAAGAGACCGTTGAGGGACTCAGAAGAAATAAGTATTAACACAACAAATCTGTCTGTTTACGTGTGACGCTGATCATTTTGCAAAAACCGTCATCACCAGGTGGGTCTCAGTCGCTCCGTCCACCATCATCTTTTTGACATTGCTTTCCCAGAGAGCAGCTGATGTCCAGGTCTACTATCCCCCTTTCTGGGAAATTTTGGAGGTGGAGCTTCAGAAAGTGTCTAGAAAATTTCAGGAGTGCATGTCTGACTGAAGCGTTTGAGACACCCTTTGCCACATCTCTTCCTCGCTTTCTTCTTCTCCTTTCCACCTTTCTTTTCATCTCTCCATCTCCTGCTCTTTGAAGGCATCACCCTCTTTCTTCCTCTCTCTCCATCTGTCACTTCCACTCCTCCTCCTCTAGTCCTGATCCACTGGTTCATTCACTTTGTAAACACACACTGCCTCCCTTCCATCTAACCTACTCTACCTCTGCTGTGTGTCCTCAGGCTTTGTTTGTCCGTGTCAGTGCTAAGCCGCTTGTCTGCGGTTATACACTCCATGCCGTCATGCAGAAGCTGTGTCAGTCATATTAAACAGGCTGTGAGCTAATAGCACGGGTGACTGTGAATTTTCCAAACCACAATAATCTGCCCTGAGCGTTTGTACCAGATTTACTCTGTTTGGTTTCTCTGCCGATGCCTGTTTGTGTCTGAATTTATCCTTTTTTTTTTCCTGTGAAATTGATATTGTGGAGTTTCTCAAACTAATCTGCGGCTTAATTCCTAATGTATGCAGGCTTGGGGTGGTGAGTGATGGTTTCAGGTGTCTGCAGGTTTAATCAAGCCTCATTTAAAACCATGGCAGGCAGGATTTTTGAAAACCCTGTCGTCACCAAACCTAATCACAAGAGAGGAGTGTGATATTGCAGCTGTTCTCCGGATTATAAAACTTTAATTTAAATTAAGAGATTTTATAGCTAGGAGATGTAATTTTCCCCTTATTTTTTAATAAGTTTGAAATCCAGATGTTTTCTGAATGGTATCAAGTGTAACAGAATTTTTTTTCCTCCATGCAGTAGCATAACCATAGACTGTATATAGAATGGACAGAGTCTGCCTCCTCGCTGGGTGAAGCCACTCTGAGAACAGCACCCTCTGTTGATCGGTTGCAGTATAGGTCATAAATCCCGCCACCGCCAGCAAAGTTTATGGGACTGTGGACAAAGTTGAGAAATTTATTACACAGAAAATAATTTTTTCTCCCTCCTGCTTGTGATGTTGACATGTAGTTACTGTAAGACTGGTTTGAGCTCAAGTCCTTTTTTTTCTGTGAAGCTCCATTTTTAAAAGTTATTAGGGGGTTCATGTTTTCTATGATTGACACCTGATACAGCCTATGGGCGTTCAGGGATTGCATAGCTCTCCAGGGGGATACGCCGTTTGAGCCGAGCGTCATCACAGCGGCCAAATGCGTGCATCTCTACTGCGCAGCGCTGGTTTCAGGAAATGAAGAAAAATCCCGGAAATACCGAGAGCTTTTTGGCTTCAAATCCGTATACAGGCGGTAGGCGGAACCAAGTTGTCCATAGTATATACAGTCTATGAGCATTACCAACAAGCTTTTTAGATTCGTTTCTTTTCATTTCCCCTGAATAAACTTGTGTTTTCTATTTTCTCACATTTTGAAGTGCTTGATTTTCTAATGCTCTTGCTGCCTTTTAAATTTCAGCGATGTTACTTTCTCTATACTCACACGTCCACCCTAAGTTGGCAGCGAGTCTTGTTGGCATCTCAGTTAAACTCTTAGCTTTAAAGTAAAACACTCAAGGTGTCTCCTTCGCTTTATTTCTAGACAATTGGCTCTTTTCTGATTTGACAGGCGATAAAAGTTAGGTGACATCTCACAAAGACAACAAAACTCTGCTGGAAGATAGCTCATGATGATGATAAACTAACAGGGCTTTTAACCAGGTGTTACGAGTTTGATTTAGAGTTAGAAATTGTCTCTAGTAGTAAAGAGCGGCACAACAGTTCAACAAAGTAGTCAACTAAAGTTGTTGAGAAAATGGATCACTATTGCACCAAAAAGTGGAGCGGTTGGTGGCATCATCGCCAATGTTTTCATGCAGATGCTAAGTTTTTCAACAGAGTTAGACCTCTTATACAGATTCCTTCTTTGCTGAGAGTGAAACACAAAAAATACCAATCATTAAAACAACCCGAAAATGGTGGTCAACAGTTAGTCTACTGGGGAGCTTTACATAGTTACTTCCATTGCAATCGTCTATAATACAGCTTGCATATTTATGCAGAGATAACTCATGAATCAGCTCTCTAAGTCTTCCATTGGTAAATAAATGCCGTTCCAACACTTCTTATTAAGTGTAAGTATCTCTGTTTGTGCACACTGAGACATGTACTTAATGCCTCCTCCATAAGATACACAAGCAAGCAACAGATGGTGCCTGTCACTCAGAGCTGTGAGTTGCACTGCCAGAAAATGTTCACTTTGGTCTCACCTCTGCAGGATAACTTGCTAAGGTGCTCTGTATTGACTTGAAACAAATCTGTTTCTCATCAACACCAAGCTCAATCCTCACCATATGGAAATGGCTCAGCACTGTGTCTGCATCACAAGCAGCAGTGCCATGTGTGATGATGATTTTATGATGCTTCAGTTTAACTGATCCCATTGTGGCAGCTGGGATCAATGGAGGACCAGGAGCTTCAGATCGACTTTGATCAGAGAAACCCTGAGCCTCGAGCAAACCTATCCCACTCCATCTGCTGATGCAATGAAATCAAATGCATTGGAGTGGAGTGTTGCACAGAGTGCAGCTCAGCATGAATGGTTATATTGGTTTTTCTGGTGAGATCTAAAGCAGACGAAGACCGCATGAATACTTCAAGCCCTGCATGGTTTGTTCAAGCTAACCATGTCTTCTGTTTGAACCTAATTTACAGAGTCCTTAAAGTTCAGGTGAAACACCCAGGTTCTGCTTACAGCGCCATGATATCACTTGCATTATTCATGATACAAAGTGTTATATTCATCCACTTACCACCTACCAGATGTATTGCAACAAATCACAACCAGTTTTTGGCTCTCATACAACATTACTTTACAGTTTTTACAAATGGTGTGAAATGAGTGCTTTGTCTAAAATGACACAACAGACTCCGTGTGTTCGACTTTATGAGTCGGCTCAGCTTGTTCTTTGACACATTATGGCAACACATCAACCATTGTCTCAGGATTTTGAGGAGGAATATTTTCAAAGCCTTCAAAGATTTCTTAAATGTTGTTAGGGAAATAAAAATCTGAATACTAACAAACTATCAATGAAGAAACTAAGGCATGACAAAAAGGCATGACAGTGTGAAGTGGTATGTGTCTGCGGGTCCTGGAGGTACTACAGTTTTTGGGGGACTGCAGTTTAGTTTAGTGACCCAGCTCCAATCGTTCACGTTAGATAGCCAGCTCTTTGAATCGGTTCGTTCGCAACCAAAACATCACTGTAGTTTAAGGTCTCCAAGTTTTTAATGTCTAACCACATCTTTTAAGACTATTTAACTGTTACCCTAACCAAAAATCCTCTAAAACACAAGTCTAAAGATGCAGTCCCAGTTTACGATTCTAAAACTTTAGTCTCTGGCTCTGCAGAGATACTTAAAAAATAGTTCAAAAAGTAGTATAAGTAGAGTTGGAGTTGATTAAAACCTCAATCTAATGCCAGCCACAATTCAAAAGCCAAAGCTCTTATACTCTCTTTTTTCATAGTATAGCATCAAAGAGACAAGGCTACCCGACAGTGATGGAAGTAAGCTAGCAATGAACATGCAAGTAGATACACAGCATGTAGACACAGCATCTCAAAGTGTCCTGCAAGAGCATCAGGTTGAAGGCAAAATGAATCTATGCCATGGTAAGTGACATATGGAATGGGGATGGGTCTCTTATCTGCAACCCTGAAAGACTCGATAAACATCACGAAAATAATATAGAAGCATGGGTTCAGTTTATGTTTTATGGTATTTTAGTCATTTGTTAACAATGGACACAAACTCGCAAACTGTTGAGACATCTTGCACAATAGCTACCTCCGCCAAGGAGGTTATGTTTTCGGTAGTGTTGGTTTGTTTGTTTGTCTGTTAGCAACTTTATGGAGAAAGTAACACATGGATTGACCTGAAATTTTCACCAGAGGTGCGTCTCAGACCCAGGAGGATCCGGACAAAATTCTGGATACTGTGATCCAGAACACTCAAAAATAAGGGTGTCATTGGAATTTTCAATGCTGAAAGATAACCAATGGGCGGCACAGTGGTGTGGATAGGTGGCATAGTGGTGTAGTGGTTAGCACTGTTGCCTCACAACCAGAAGGTCCTGGGTTAGAATCCCGGTCAGGGCATTTCTTGTTTAAGGGGGGACATGAGCTGCTTGGCGGAGGTCTCCGCTCTCCGAGTGCTTTTCTAGTTTTGATTGATCTAATCACCCCCTCATCTCTTTTCATCCTCATTGGATAGACTCGGGCGGAACATGCACACAGTGTGACCTGCTACGGCCAGTAACACCTCCGCAGGGATGCCCACATGGCATCACCACCCAATCCTGTTCAGTGGAGATGAGAGGGCTAAAATCCTAATTCCATGGCGGATTAGCTGTGTTGGGATAAAGTTAATTTGCTCTGCATGCAGAGGAGCTTGTGTGAGCTCAGGGGGATGATCCAGGATCCCATTCAGCCGCCTATAACGGCATATGGTGACTACGGTTGGGTCATCTGCAGGAGTAAATGGGCTCTGTCGAGAGGCAAACACACACACACAAACACAGACTCAGTAAGTTACATCCACTCCCTGAGGTGTGTTTGAATGAGTGCATGTGTATGACAGCGACCCCCCTGTCCTTGTATTGCTCCCCAGTGTAATTACAGTCCTTAAAGATGAAGGATCACTCACTATTAATTAATCAATAGACAACACACAGGGGGAAGAGAGGGAAAGCAAACGCAAGCAGTTGGTTCATTTCCAGAATGCAATACATCCATTTTCTAGAGGTAGAAATCATTATCTGATGCTCAGGATGCCATATATCTCCAAGCTACAGCCAGCAGTCTGTTAAATAAAGTGTTGTCATTCTGTCAGTACAGCTTATAAGTTACCCACTGTCCAATACAAAGGAGGGTTGCTTGGTTTCACTCTCTCTCTGGAGGTGGAGTGTGTGTGTGTGTGTGTGCGCCGGAGGGAGTGAGCGTGAGTTAATAGAAAAACTTAAAAAAAACAAAAAAAAAAACAGACTGAACTCAAGCTGCATCTTTAAAACAACAGCTGCCAAATTTATTTACTCATATAGAGTGAAATATTCCCAGCTGGCATGGACTTCTTTTAAAAAAAACAGGAAAGCAATAAGTAATTTGAACAGGTTGCTGAACAAGTATTGCCCAAATTGGTGTAGGTCTGGATTTAATTTTAGCTGTGTGTTGTTAAACATTTGGTGCATGTGGATGTATTCAGTAAAATGATGCTGTAATGTGTGCAAACTGAAGAATGAGTTAGGAGTCTTCTTTATCATGCCTACCTTCGTTATCAATTATCATAATGTGAAGATACTGCCGACTTTTACAGCCACACATTAACTACTTAACATATTGTTACCATTATAGTACTACAAATGTACTTATGAGTCTGTATGAGACTGTTGCTGTTACTATTTGTCCCATCCCAGCTCAATCTCAGCAGATGAGTGTCTACTATGAGTCTGGTTGTGCTCAAGGTTTCTGCCTGTTAAAAGGAAGTTCTTCCTCTCCACTATTACTTGATAAATGCTGCAAAGTTTTTGCTCATGGTGGCTCAAGACCGGGTAATAGTGAGTCTACACTCACTGAATGAGACTCAGTTTCATCTATGTCAATATGTTGGGTCTTTGTAAATGATTATACGCAGGGCATGGTCTAGACCAGTCGATCACAGAGTGCAGAGGATCATTTCCATAATTATCTTCATAATAATCATTTTGTCCTGCAGACGCGGTAGTTCTTCTGCCTTAGTGTCTCAGTCTGATTGCATTTCCATGAAGTAATGTGCATAAATGTTCTTCCTTGAGCTGTGAAACTCTACTGCACTCTGTGATCGACTCGTCAGGGCTTCCCCACAAACAAGCAGCTGCTGGAGGAGAGTGGGTGAGTTGTGTTTGGTCTCTTAGCTAAAGAAACCAGGCGAAGCTAAAAAGATGTTTGATGGTTAGCACTATGGCTGGCACTCTATATTTTGATGAAGTTACGTGCTGTTCTGAGTATTATCTGTGGCTAGAGAGTGGCTTTTTGGTTTGGTTGAAGTTCGGCTGTGTATTGCTATCGTGTGGTCGTTGCTGAAGTTGTTATAACTAGAGAAGCTAGCAGTCGGCAACATACATCTCTCGAGGGGGTGTCTAACTCAGTGTTACAGTGTGTTTGACCATAACTTGATTGTACGCTGGAATATCCTTTTAAGGTGTTATGAAGTGGGTGATCCATGTTTACATCTTGCTGTGGTCCAGAAGTAGAAGGAGTCCTGCTGACCCCATGCTGTAGCGCCCAAGATACTTGTCTCTGATCTGCCCCCTGTTGGTGTGTGAATGTTTTCAGTACAAAAGCTCTTTTAGTGGTCAGCAGACTAGAGAAACAGTTATATAGAAAGCCCATTGAGCATTGACTGTACCTTTAGAAGGCTGATCAAGTCCCTTTCTGTCCCACTCTGCTATTAATGCCTTAATTGTGGATGTAATTCTTGAATCAAAGGTTTTGTTACATGTCAAAGCTGAAGCCTCATTATTGTGGACTGTTGATTAAAAGGATTTACACACACACATACAGACACACACAAACAGTAAGTCATGACTGAGGGCCTAATAGCCTTTCTGTTACACTCATTAGACCTTCAATTACTACCAACTCCTTTGATTCTGGCATGAGGCAGCGAGAAAACACACAGTCATGAACGCATTTTCGAATATACGCACTGAGTTCAGTCTTCTGAAGTTTATTATAAAAGCTGTGGAGGCCGTACAAGCAAATTCAAACAAAAATAATAATCTGCAAGTTGATATCTGACAGCATGTAGGGACAGATTCAGGAGTGCAGAACAAGTTTAGGGAGCGAGGAGGACGGGGGGCTGAGTGTGATCGATGTTTTAAGCCTGCAGAAGAACTGGCTCTCTCTAAGTTTGAGCGAGCGAAAGGGCTTAATTTGCTTTCAAACTTCAAAGCAGCTTGATCTAAGTCAAAGCAGTTTGTATCAGTGCCATGCAAACTCCCGCTGAGAGATGCAGCACTAAAATTAACCTGAGAGCGAGCGAAGAAGCACCTTGTTAGCCAGCACCAAATTTAACTTCTGGCTTCTCTAAGAGAGCTCTGCTTTCAGACCTTTCTTTATGTTGCTATATGAAGTTAATGCTGGCATCAGAGCTGCTCTTTTTCACAGAATCCATCCTTTACTTTTTAAAACAGTCGACAAATCAGAAAAATATTTCACTAAGCTGTCTCTCTTTCCTTGTGGTACATCCTCACATCCATTAGTTCAAACCACTGCTATCAAAATTAGATATTTTTTCCTACCACAAGGGTTACAAAAGGTCAACAATTTGAAGGACTGTTGTACGATAGCAGTTGCTCAAAAACCTGAAAATATCCAAATGAAAAGACCTTTTTTATGAAATTATGCAGGTTAAATTCTGGTCAAATGCCTTTTTTTAACAGCAGAGACACTTCTCTTTGGAATGTGAGAGGCTCTTTTGTGTCTTTTTTCAGTTTTGCCATCACTAATACCACACGCTTTGACAACCACTTCTATCTAAGAGTATTACAAGATGGAAGTCAAGTAAAAGTAGTGACTTCTTTTTTTTTTCTCCCCAACCCGCTGAGTCTGAATTTATGAAGCTAATTCGATAAAGGTGAATGACAGGAAGAGGAAACAGTTTTGTCATACACAACAAAGATTTAGTATCCCTGTGAACAAATAAAGAAGATCCTTCTCAAAGACACTGACAGTCAGTGCGTCTCTCCCATCCCCTCGTGGCCTCAGAGTGTGCTGACATCTTTGTGAGAAGCATGTAAAGTAAAACATCATCATTAGAGCCTGAGCTCAAAGACTTCATCTCTGAAATTTTACGGAAAGTTTAAAGTAGGGCGAGGGAGAAGGTGAGCTGGTTTTTTTCTCTAATAGTCATGCACAGACATTCTTAATTTTTGTCTCTTGCGGGGGCAGCTTTCAGCCTGAAGATTAGGATTTTCACAGAGGAGAAATGAGTCCAAACAGCATCAAATGCAAGATAACTAACAGCTATTTTATTTTATTTTTATTTTTTATTGTACTTATCTGCTTTTAAGAAAGACACATATCCTGGAACAACTGAGCTTGATAGATGTTAAAATTAAAAAAAAAATCAAATAAATAAATAAATATATATATATATATATATATATATATATATATATATGTAAAAGTGCATATATTATTAATATGGCACACCATAGTTAAGCCACTGCAGTGTGTTCCTCCTTCTCTTGCAGCTGCAGTTGGATATAACACTGAGCCTTAAGATGACATACTTTATGGAAAAACTCCCTGACATCTCAAAAGTAAAGTGAATATGCACAAATATGGTATTAAAATATCACAACAGTCCCTCAAGTCTGAGCTCCCACCTACAAGCTAGCATAGCAGCTAATTAGAGCGCTGCCACATCATCTGACAGCCTTCGTTGTAGATATTTGGTTTTGACTGTGAAAAATGAACTTGTATAAATCTTGACTTTAAATTTAGAGCTTAATGCATGCATGTCACATTTATGCCAATTCACAGAAAAAAAACTAAATTACTGACATTTTTGAAAACTACATTTTTACACCCTAAATGTACTCACATACTCTCATATTTGGATAGATAGATAGATAGATAGATAGATACTTTATTAATGCCAGAGGGAAATTCAAAATTTGCATTATCATTGTTTTTTACATCTGTGTAATCTCCCACAACAAAAACACACAACCACTCAAGGCACTGGCAGCCAGTTCTCTTACTAACAGCATTAACCACAAAATGACGCTGGACATGTCTAAACATAGAAACAAGCAAAGTGCATCAGGATTTTAAATGCCCATGAGTAAGTGCTGTGTGCAGTAAATGGTTATTGTTCCCAGCAGCTGCCTTTTAAAGGAGAATGGTGGATTTAAGTCTGAAAGTCATTTGATTTGACTCCTGCGTGTGTGTGTGTTTGTCTGTTGGTTCTCATCTTAAGATATCCCATTTAAAGACAATTTCAGTGACAGACTGATGTTTTTAAATTAGGTAGACTGTGCTTTTGTAAATACAGGTTAGTTAAAGCTAGACAAATGGCAATGTTTATGTTCGGAACCAGCAGATTAGACCTTTGTTTAACGATAAGGGAGCTGATCCATGAAGAGGTCAAATGAGAAATCAAACTTCCCTTCACAATCTTTTCTAACTATAACCAGATAGTTATGGCGCCTAAAAATAGCCAACGAGGAACTGGTTTACACACAAACACCTCTGAACTTTAAGGAAGAGGTCATGATCAGATTAAAACCAGGTTTGAACGATGACTTTTGTGACTCATAGAAAGTAAGAATCAGGTTCCTAAAGGACAGAGCTTTCTCAGGCATGTTAAGTAAGTCTCATATCAATAAACAATGCTGTCATAATGACAGACATAGAAAGGCTTTTGTGTTGTAGACACAGAGTATACCTCTGAAAGACAAATTTGAAATTAATTCCAACTGACATTGAAAAAGGGAATATGTGTTCATATGCATGATCTCACTAAGACTGCAAGGGAAGCTCGGCTTCCCTTAAAATGTCACCCCCCCAAAAAAAGAAAAAGTGGTGAAATACATACTACTGTGTGTACATTTCATTAACTAAATACGCACTAGAAAGCCTTCATCTTTTGTTCAGACACTGTGATAAGAAGCTGATAATTACAGGTAACCGACATAACTTCGTTCTCATTCATCCTTGCAGCGCCTCAGCGCTTCACACAGTCGGACGCTGGGCTTCTGCTGACTTCAATGTGGAAGCTCAAAGTGGGTTGTTCCAGCAGCGAAACTAGACGCTCATTGGATAAATGCTGGGCTTTGTCCCGCCCAATGGAAGCTAAGCTTCACTGGAGTTCTATGGCGAGAGGGCGGTCCCGACTTTCTCCCGGACTCCAAGCTTCTGCATTCATGATTGGATGAGCTGTCTGAGGCGAAATCCTTTTTTGATTGACAGCTAAACAAGCGAATCAGCGATCTTGAAGAATAAAACATCTACCAGAGCATTTTCCAAGTCATTCATTCCGTAGTTCTTAACTGCTCCAGAGACTTCACCGATCCTCAGCGACTTTTGTCTTTGTTAAAAACGACTGCCGTTGTGTTTGGCGACTCTGTTCTGTTACATACTAATAAACAAATACAATTATGATGTAGGCCAGAAAAATGAGCTTCCCCTCATTGAAAGACCAGCAGCCGCCACTGGTTCATATGCATGATCTCACATAAAATATTGACTAACTGACTGCTTTTTTAGACCTGTTCTTGTCGCTTTAAAGATTGTTGATTTTAGGTTACTAATAATGATAAATACACAGAATAAAATCATAGCAGTTTCACTTCTATATGCAGCCACTGTAAAAAAGAAAATGCCTTGATAAATATCTACAAAATCTGCAACAATAGAAGGTTCCCACTTTGTCCACACGGGGCGCCAAAACTAACAGAGAAAATTCCTCACAGAAGCTTTTATCATATCGATGTTTCCACTGATTTGTATTCTCATCAAGGGTGCAATATTTGACTGTTGGGTTAAATCATAACTCTCACTTTTTTTAAGTAGTTTTTTGGGCAATTTTTGCCTTTAATGATCGGACAGTGTGAAAATAGAGGAGGGCGGGGGGCCGTACTTGAAACTCGCGACTGCTGCGAGGACCGTGGTCCCTATGCATGGGGTGCGCCAACTTGTGTAGCTATCTGCGCGCCCCTAGCTCTTTTACTTTTTATACATCATAGTTCTGACAGTTATAACAGGAATAGAATATGTCACTTAAAATTCTTCATGTAGACATTGATCGGGTTGGTGCACCGATCACTGATGGGAAACTGCTTTGCATGGCAGGAGGTCCAGACCGACCTGCAAGTAAAAATTACTGATGTGTCGGTCGTGAATGAACTAGTATAAAGATTCGGCTCTTTAATGTTTGAACAATTTTTGTATTTGAATTACTTTGCTGTTGCGGTTTTAGTTCTTAATGGTAGTCAGTTCAAATAGACACCTAAAACTGTTAAATGCTGCTGTTTTGTTTATTGCAATTTAGCTTTTTCGTTTTATTATGTTATTTGTTCATTTATTTGTGTCTAAATACATTTTGAAAATCTAAATAGGTGTCTTTTTTAATATCTGTGCTTCAGTTTTTAAAGATGTTTCTATTTGTTTTGTGAAGCAGAGTGGTTCTACAAGAAAGTCAGTGCGTTCGTTGGGTGGTTTCAGAGAGTTACAAGGGTCTGTAAATGCAATAAAAACAATTGGCTACAGCAATTTACTAATATTAGAAAATATAATTTTTACTTGTGAATATTTCAGTACAAAGGATGTATTGAATTATTTAAGAGGTATGTGTACACATACAGTACATATCATAAGTCGTACATATCATAAGCTAAACACGCTAAATTTGGCTGAATTAGAAAACGTATAAGTGGTAAAATGAAGAGCTGTTCAGGAGCTGAAAGAGCCGGCTCTTCTTGGTGAGCTGAGCCAAAAGATCTGGCTCACTAAAAAGAGCCGTAATTACCATCACTAGTGAAAATGAATCTGGGCTGTCTAATGGGTGTGCCGGCACCAGTCGGGCTAGATTAGGCGAGGCAATCCTAAACTTATGTCCAATAGTTGTTCCAGCAGCTCTTTAATGATCAAGTTACTTAAGCTCTTCAAGGTTTTTTTTTTTTTCAGCCTTAGACAACACAGCTGTGATGTGTGAGAAGTACTCAGTGGAAAAAGTCAGCTGTAATAGCTGCATGAGGCCTAAAAAGCTGCATTAAAAAACACCAGGACTCCTTTGTTTTCCAAGGACGTATAACACTTTATTTTGTATGAAAGTCCTTTAAGAGCATCTAAAACAAGTCAGACACGTGAGGAGAAGAAGGCTTCTTTGAAATGCACATTGGCGTGCATGCATTATCGAAAAACCTCACTCACTCACACACACACGCACACACACTTCAAAGCCAGCTGGCAGGAAAAAAGCTCCATGTTTTGGCAGCAACACAGCTGTCATCTGTCAATGCTTAAACAAATCCTTCAATCCCTGTCGATACAATATTTACCCTAGCCATTGCAGCGTATACTAATTTATTTACATTGCCGGGAGATTGAAATGTTTTTCCTTTTTTGGTCCTTGTGAAGCAGCTTGATAGATGGCTGGATGGGTGAAAGGAGGTGATTTGGTGATTTAAAGTCCAATTCTGGGCAGGAAAATTGGTTCCTGCCAGAGTAATACATCAAAGGGAATTAAAAGGTGATTGTGGTGTTTCTGTGTGTGTGCGTACACCTAAGTGTGTTTGCGTCTGTGGCAATGAAAAGAGAGGGGAAATGGCTTGGTTTGATGGTGCCATGGTAACGCACAAACACATCGAGAGGATGGATTAGGACGTGGAGGAAAGAAGGAATTGGTAGAAAGAGAAGGAGAGGAGAGGAGATGGAGGGGACGGCTTGAAACTCCAATTGACCTTAGTCTGATTCAGGTTGCCCCAACACACACTCACTCATCAGCACACACCCTGGGTTTCTGCGTAGCGCTAAGCGGTGAGCGATGGGGCACTTGTCTCGTCATCAT